GGGAAGATGTTTTCGGTTGGGGGTGCTGTGTGTGTCCGTGTTTGGTGAGGGGGGTTGGGGGACTGGTTCACTTACGTCGATGCTCGTGCTGGAGCTGGTGTTGTTTGGATGCCGATTTTGGAAAGTTTTTGCTGGGATGGGCATTTTAAAAAATCTGAAATTCGCTTTTGCGCCATTATCTCCTTGTATTACAGTTAATCTTGTTCGCATTCTGTATAGTTCATGTCTGATACCACGATCCAGCGTCACGTGTTCATGAGGATTAGGCTAATCATCCCATATAGAAAACATCACAAGTAAAATTAATCATGTTTATAAAGATAAACATGGGTTTGTTATAGCCCACTTACAATTTACATTTCAGAGATCATTACAAATAAATTATTAAATGCTAAAACTGAATACATTTAAATGAACAAACTTGGCGCTGCATTTGCAACCATGTGAAAACAGGGGGTGCTGCAGCCCCCTCAGCACCCCTACTTCCCGCGTCCCTGCTATTTAGTGTGGTATATTTTGACAATATTCACTCATCATGACAGTAAAATAGGGCATTCTAAGTCAATATACTGCAGTATTTCCTCTCTCAATCAGTAGAAAATATGGTTAACACCCGGTCATGCATGAAAAAAAATACCGTCTTGTACCGTGAAACCAGTATAATTTTGAAAAATACCGTGATATAAATTTTTGGTCATACCGCCCAGCACTACGTAGAGTGTTACGGGAGAAAATCCGATTTAATGATTAATGCAGTGCATGACGCACATGGTGCAGCCTACACATAGTACGGTGCTAAATATATTGAATGATTAATTTCACTATGTAACGTATAGGAATACCGATTTATTCATACAAATGGTATTATAATTTTTTTGCTTTATTTCACTATAGTATGTTTTAATGTATAAATACTTAAATTAATGCAATAATGTAATAGATTTTATATCTAATGTAATATTGTAACATATTTATTGTAATGTATTAATAACAATATTAATGTGATGTATAAGAAAGACGAGACATATTGTAAACAGTATAATTTATTTACATTTATTTAATTATTTTCCATTATTGTATAATGTCAGTCTACCTGTGTGCGAGGCTAATGAGCACATGTACTACTCTGTTCTCCCCGTGAATGACTCTGTGTGCCAGAGAGGGAGAAGCTATCGCCTGTTGATCCACTGATTATTTCTCCTTGTTACAGATTGAGTAGAAGAAAGTGCTGAATCTCATCAACGAGTGGTCGTGTGGTCTTTATGTGTGTGAGGGTGACCGGTCCAGACATGCTACATAAAATTGGTGCCGTGACCCGGATGCACCAGATCTGCAGCAGCCGATCACTGGGGTTCGACAACGCAGAATCACAACGCTTCTGAAAGCATAGGACAAAGACTTTTCATTGTTGATGTTTTGGTGGTGGTGTCTGGACATGGAACTGAACTGAGTAACTGAACTCTCGCTTTACATTACCAGTTTGCTGTAGTAAAAGTCTTTTCACACTCAAAGCACATGTACTGTCTCACACCAGAATGTATTTTCTTTCAAATATTGTAGACACAAAAAAACTCTTCCCACACAAATAACATGAATGTGACTTCTCCTTTGAATGAACTTTCAGGTGTTTCTTCAGGTCTGAAGCCCACAAAAAGATTTTACCGCACTGATCACGTGCATGCAGCTTCTCTCTAGTGTGGATGTTCATGTGATCTTTAAGGTTTGCTGATTGTGTGAAACTCTTCCCACACTGATCACAAGTGAATGGTTTCTCTCCAGTATGAACTCTCGTATGATCCTCAAGACTTGTTTTGCTTGTCAAACTCTTTCCACACTGAGTGCAGATGAAAGATTTCTTGGCTCTTCTTTTCTTTAAATCTTTCTGTTTGGTTTGAGAGCAACTCAAAGTTTTTCCCCAGTTTTGACATGATTTTTCTCCTCAACTTCACTTGATTCTTTATTCTCCTCGTTTTCTTCAATCAACTCTGAAATAAAAGTAAAAAATTTTGAATTTTCAGTATCTTGTAAAACGCTGAGAAATGTGAAAATAAAAGTGAACCCTGATGTAACAGTGCAGGGCTCCAGCCTAATGCTGGGTACACACCACAAGATAATCGGGCTGATTTGGGTCCGATTATTCCCCTTCCGACAATCCTAGGTAATGTCCCGATTATGTAATTTTCATATAGAAAAATTGATATATTCTACTCTTACTAAATGTACCATTAGAATACAATTTTAGAATTTCAATATATAAAGCAAAACAAATGAATGACTAATAAGTGCTCCTCCGCTGCCATCTACTGATTATAGTGGTAATTTTATGTATTTTTTATTTATTTTGCACAAGTGTTTGTTTACCACAAAACTATATTTTGATATACATTGCGTTTTGTCCCATTAAAAATACTATTTTAATGTGAAATACTTAAAAGTTGTTAAAAAGTGCTTAAATCTCTCTCTCAAAAGGTTGGACAAACCCTGAAATGAATGATGTAATAACATTGGACAATTTCTGCCACACCACCATGGTTATAGTTAGCATTACTGCTTGTGGGTTTCTGCGTCAGCGCTGTGTGATCTGTTCATAGCAGAACTCTGTGCTGAAATTGAACGCTTCTCACTAGATCTCACAGCAACCTAATTCATTCTGCGTCGAGTTCAAACTCTTCTCACTGGATCTCGCAGCGCTGTGCAGTAACCGTGTGGGTTTCTGCGTCAGCGCTGTTTGATCTGTTCATAGCAGAACTCTGTGCTGAAATTGAACGCTTCTCACTAGATCTCACAGCAACCTAATTCATTCTGCGGCGAGTTCAAACTCTTCTCACTGGATCTCGCAGCGCTGTGCAGTAACGGTGTCGTGAGATCAACACTGGTTCCTGAGTAAACCTGTTCTGAACTTGGACCAGTTTGCTTGCGTTGCGCTCAATTATTGTTCCGAGCTGCTAAACGGTCCGCGCTGCGCAGCACAAACGAATAGCGCGGTTCTGTTATGCTTTTGTTTCGTTTGCCGTTTGATGTTTCTCATATGCAACAGAAATGGCCTCGCTTATGAGTTGGGTAACGTGGTGGTCGCACCGGCAGAATTTTTTTTTTTTGCAAAATTGGTGGTCACACCGGCAGAATTTTTTTTTGCAAAATGCAAAGTTGCAGTCTTGAGCCCAGCAGTGGAAAGTAGACAACTGTGTTAAAAAATCTTCAAATTATTATTATTTTTAAATAATATAGAGACAAACCACATGTTTCTATAGGGAGACCTATTAATATGTTTGTATGTTTGATCAACTACACAATTGACCATTCGCAAGGAACATGATTGACAGGCGATCTGACCAATCAGAACGCAGATATTATGTGCCGCCGCTGCTATCCGCCATCTTGTCCAATAGCTACAGCTGGTCTCCATAGAAATCCATGTTAAAACAGGGTAAAAAAAAACATTGACTGAATTGAAACTTTTTCAATATAACTAAATATAAAAAAGTGTGCGGAGGGTTAAGCTGTGCTGTTGTTGGCTGCCACAGGAACAGCAATAAGCTAAAGGAATTCCTTTAAGGTACTTGTTTTGCGTACCAGAAAATCTGTCCATGCCTCAAGTTAAAATAATAACGTTAAATAATAAAATAATATGTTAAAATAGTGTGTGCTCTTATCATTCTGTGGACACAATTGTGAGAACTTCGCCCTGATCGGGAACTGAACTGAGGCTCTACAGTGATCTGTCACGACACATTAAAGAGCCACAAAATATATACACAAAAAATGGTATTGTTTGAATTTCTTTAAAAATGACAAAATTTGAGAGTCCTGAGACCTTGTTTCATACCAGAAGTAACCTGCTCTGTCTTGTCTGTCGGCAGGTTGTCAGTTTCCTCTTCGCTCTGTGATGTGTTTTTCACTGCGTAAGAACATGATGTGTAGTGTGAGAGCAGCTTTGTTTGTCAGCATTAGCAACAGTAACTAAGGGTGGGCGGGTCTTTGCGAACGGTCAATTGCTCACATCAAAAGTGATCAATAATTACTGAAAGTAACAGTGAAAACAAATGAGATAGATCTCTCTCCTACTGACTTACAGGTAGGGATGGGTGTCGTCAGTGGTTGAATTGTAAAAAAAAATCAGGAGGGATGGAGTTGTCAATTTCGTTTTTTTTTTATTTTTTGGGGGGGGATTCCTGTAGCTAATTTTACACAATGATTACAAAATGTGTCTAATTTTTAGAAAGGTTTTTATCTAACGAAATATTAGCCTTATTAAATGAACTATTATTTATAAGCGTTTTTTCCTTCTGGGCCCTGAAATGGAGGAATTTTGTCGATATTGATAATTAATATTTTGCTGAATGTTTTTGTGGCACCTTGGCTGGTTTATTTTGTGCAAAAACTTGCTTCAGCTGTGCGCAGCTTCATACAGTACCAAGTTCTGATTGGCCAATTGCCGTTATTTAGTTGGATAATTATCGGTAGAGTATTTTAATATTTCATTTGCATGATAAGTTTTACATAATACACATTATTAATCTAAAGGGGATGGTAAGGGGGGATGGTGGTTTTACTGAGGGGATGCTTTTTGTCAATTGTTCGATCAGGGGGATGCCATCCCCCCTCAATTCGAGCCCTGGGTATCGTTAAGATTTTAACAGTATTACTATTCTTACGATACTGCACATCAGTTCAGTTCTTTAATGGTATTCTTTTTTTCATGAAAAAAGGGCCCATTAAATACCGTGTTCTGGTACCCACCCCTTCTTACAAGAGAAGCAAATAAAGATCAGTTGCAAAGCTACATTACAGTATAACTTGCATCTGCATTTTCTAAATACATCTTAAGTGGAAGAATAACTCAGTCATTTTAAAAACAACAGTGAAGAAAAATAAGAAAGCACAATAATACAATGTTTTGGCAGTTATTTGGGGAGGAACTCCATCTTTGATGTGAGCAGAATTTCAGCTGAATCTTGAATACTTACTGTGAATGTTTTTTTGTATGATTGTGTAGAGAAGATGAATTATTGAAACACTTCCCACATGCAGTGCAGTGATACGGTTTCTCTCCAGTGTGAATCCTCTCATGTCTTTTCCGACTTGATGAATGACTGAATCTCTTGTCACAGTGTGAACACTTGCAAGGTTTCTCTCCAGTGTGAATCCTCTCATGTGTTTTCAGACTTGATGAATAATTGAATCTCTTGTCACAATGTGAACACTTGTAAGGTTTCTCTCCAGTGTGAATCCTCTCATGCAGTTTTAAACACTTTGCTGAAGTAAAAGTCTTTTCACACTCAAAGCACACGTACTCTCTCACACCAGTATGTATTTTCTGATGTTCTTTCAAAGTTGAAAAACGTGAAAAACTCTTTCCACACAAATAACATGAATGTGGCTTCTCCTTTGTATGAACTCTCAGGTGCTGCTTCAGGTCTGAAGCTCTCAAAAATGTTTTGCCGCATTGATCACAAGTGTACAGTTTCTCTCCAGTGTGGATGTTCATGTGAACATCAAGACTTCTTTGGTATGTGAAACTCTTTCCACATTGATTACATGTGTACAGTTTTTCTCCTGTATGAATTCTCATATGTGTCATAAGGATTCCTTTCCGTGCAAAATTCTTTCCGCACTGATCACAAGTGTACGGTTTCTCTCTAGTGTGGATGTTCATGTGTCTCTCAAGTTGTGATGATTGTGTGAAACTCTTCCTGCACTGATTACATGTGTACAGTTTCACTCCTGTATGAATTCTCATGTGTGTCATAAGGATTCCTTTCCGTGCAAAATTCTTCCCGCACTGATCACAAGTGTAAGGTTTCCTTCCAGTGTGGATGTTCATGTGTTTCTTAAGGCTTAATGATCGTGTGAAACTCTTCCCGCACTGATTACAAGTAAACAGTTTCTCTCCCGTATGAACTGTCATGTGAAGATCAAGACTTGTTTTGCTTGTCAAACTCTTTCCACACTGAGGACAGGTGAAAGATTTATTGGCTCTTTTCTTTAAATCTTTATGTTTGGTTTGAGAGCAACTCAAAGGTTTTTCTCCAGTTTTGACATGATCTTTCTCCTCATCTTCACTCAATTCTTCGTTCTCCTCACTTTCTTCAATAAACTCTAAAATAAAAGCAAAAACAGTTCATTTGTCAGTAACTTGAAAAACAACCAAACAAAAACAAACAACCAAACAAACAAACAAAAACAGAAATGTGAAAGTACATAAAAGTCAACCCTGGTGTAACAGACCATTTCTATTCAAAATGTTGTTCCTTTTGATGCAATTTTATAAATGTTCCCTCCCTGAGACTTTTCATGAATGAGGTACATTGATCTTCAAAATATAATGTTTAAAATATTATAGACACAAATCACGTTTCTATAATGAGAACTACTAAATATGTTTGATCAACTACACAATTATCTAACATACATTCTGTTGAAAAAAGTGTCCCTAAATATGTTTGATCAACTACACAATTATCTAACATACATTCAGTTGAAAAAAGTGTCCCTTATTATTTTGCTGCTCCGTCTATATTATTCAATCGCTCTAAAGATTGTTTCTGTTACAACAAACTAAATCTAAAACAGCAGCAGATGCGTTCTTGCTCTGCCCCTATTATCCAGGCTGCATCTATATATGCATATATATTTATTTAATTTAATCGTAGTACAGCACTGACTTTGTAGTCAAAAAAAATCGCAATTTGATATTTTCCCCCAAATCGCACAGCACTACCCTCTAGCGGCGAAAAAGTACATGTTGTGCCTTTAAAACAAGTCATTTCACTTGGCCATCTTTAAAACGCCTCCCCGCACGTGCAGCTCCTATCTCTTTGAATGAGGAAACATCAAATCCTCCAAAACTGTTCACCAAGCAATTAAATTTCATATTTGAAATCACCAATGAAATCTTACAACAACTGCCTCATAATTGTTGTTTCTTATGCTCAAATGTCGATAAAAGGGCTTATTTTTTAGGCTAGAGCAGCCAATGCACATGCGCAGTCATGAGCGCGAGTTTGCGAATGCTGCCTGTTTCTATAGGAACCGGAGCTTCTAACGGCAGCTGTGAAGTGACGAGATGACTTTACTAATCAACGATTGGCTCTTTCATTTAGTAGGCGGGGCTTATTCGCCATATTGGACGTTGCACTTTCTCCCATTCATAAGTATTAGGAGTGCACAGTCTAGTCTTTGCTCTAAAGCGCCTCCTGCTGGCAGAGATTGAGCCTGTCTACAGCAACATGTTTCTGTTGTTGCTCACTCTTTTTTTCTGTTTTCTGCCACAACTCCGAGCACTTTTCATATTCTTTATCCTGGCTGAAGCACTTTTCTTTCAATATATAAGAATAATCAGCCTATGTTATAGTTTAAAGTTAAATATATTTATATTAATAAGGTGAGACTGAGAGTCTTATTTGACAGTGATTTCACATTTCTCATTCATTCAAGAAGGCTAAATACAATAAAAGGTGACCATTTAAATGTATTTGTGCCATTTGTTTTCTAAAATATTATATAGTTTTATAGGAGGAGGTTTCATAGACTTGGCAAATTAATTTTTCATAAATTGTAGGTACAGACAACTGTTGTGGGCGCTCTTGACAGTTTTTCTGAGTATTTTTTGAAAATATTGTTAATATTGTATCAACCGAAGTTAAGAAATATATTGTGATATAAATTTTGGCCATATCGTCTAGCCCTATTTGAAATAGTCTTAGACTTAGTCTAGTCCAGTTAATAGGCTGATTTCCTGGAGTAAAACTAGAGTTACTTCAGGACTAAATTGAAGCTTAAATTAAACCCAACAGGAAGCAGGTTTAACTTCAGATTAACATTGTGTTTCCAGTCTTTATATATTAAAATTATTGGCACACTTGGTAGATATGAACAAAGAAGCCTGTGAAAATATATCTGCATTGTTAACTATTTAGATTTTTTATTCCAAAAGGTACATTTTATTTACTTTTATTTACCTTTTTTTTTTTTGAAAGATCAAAAGGTAAACAATAAAAAAAAATAAAAAATACAGGTTTATTTTCACAACCTTCTTTGATCATATTTTCTTAGGGTGCCAATATAATTCTGACCATGGTCCCTATTTTAACGATCTAAGCACATGGTCTAAAGTGCAATGCGCAGGTGCACTTAGGGCGTGTCCGAATCCACTTTTGCTAGTTTCACGACGGGATAAACAGTCTGCGTGCCTGGCGCATGGTCTAAAAGTGTTGTCCCTATTCTCTTAATGAGTCATGGGTGTGTTTTGGCATAACGTGCAATAAACCAATCAGAGTCTCATCTCCCATTCCCTTTAAGAGCTAGTTGCACTCGCGCCATGGCGGATTCGCTATTTACACGGCGGAACTTGAAAGTGCAAAGACAGAACGCGTCTCCAGAGATGAAACAGAGCTGCTCGCATGCGAGCAATAGGTAGCCTAATTCTGATACATGCAATGACTATCCATTATGACACGTAGGCAGTTTTATATTTATGTAGCCTACTCAATAATAATATTTTACATTGTAATGCTTGAATTTTTAATATTTGGCATGTCTGTGTGCTGCTGTGCGTCCCTGTGTTTGTAATAAGCAGAGTGTACGCACGCTGTGAAGCCGCCTACACTAATGTGCTCTTTAAATAACAAAAAAAAACTACTGCGCCATTGACTTGTAAGAATCCACCCGCCAGCCCAAAAAGCGGAATCCAGCGGCCTGGTCGAAGGTTTAATGCGTATTCGGTCTTTAACTTGAGCTTCTGAATTTATCAGGATTAGTTTAAATTTGAGTCTAGCTCCGTTTTCAATCTTACTCCAATTTTAAGTGATCACTAAATTTAGGGAATGTTTCTAATTAAAAGCTGATCACAAATATCGATTGTTTATTAATTTAGATATTTGAGTATTCTGGAAATCCCTTACTTTCAATTATTCATTCATTAAGGACCTAACATCGCTTAGAAATTCACTCGGCCAACTGTGAACTCACGAGCACAAACTCGCCAGTTCTGAACTTACTCAGAGGATTATATTTGGCATGTTTGTGTGCTGCTGCACGTCCTTGTGTGTGTAATAAGCAGAGTGTACGTGCATTGTGGACACGCCTATAGGTGCATATTACTAACGCATTCTTTAAAAAACAACAAAAATACTGCACCATTGACTTTAGACCAGGGTTTGAGTTGGTCAATGGCGCAGTCTATTTCAGTTGCCTCGAAATAGCAACGCACCAAAAATGCACCTGAACACACCTCTTTTTCAGACCAGCACACCCATGGGTGCAAAAGCATTTTGCTATTTAAACAATGTGGTACAGGACGTGAAAATGATTACTACGTCGGGCTGAAACTAGCAAAAAACACTTGCATTGCTCCGTGTGTATGATAGGGCCCCATGTCTCTCTCTCTCTAAAACAGCTGCTTTATGCATAACATCATAAATAATAATTTGCATGTTGCAAAACTGACGACAACAGCTGAGTGGAAGAATTTATGCAAGAGTTCATTACAAAGAGATTTCTAGGCATTCCTTTTCTGAGGCTGCAATATGTGCAAAATTCAGCTGCTCGTGTTTTAACTTACACACCATCCCGCAGTCATATCACTCCTGTGCTTTCTCAACTACACTGGCTTCCAGTTCAATCACACATTGATTTTAAGGTTCTTATCTTAACCTATAAAGCAGTACATGGGCTGGCCCCAGAGTATATTTGTAATTTGGTCACAGCTCCACACCATCTCAGTCTCTCCGCTCTGCTGGTTCTCTACTCCGTACCAGCCTCGTTGTAAACTCAAAACTATGGGTCAGAGGTCATTCTCTTGTATTGCTTCCAGGCTGTGGAATTCTCAGCCTTTTCCTAGGAATGCTCCGTCTTTTGATTGTTTTTAGAAATTACTCAAAACATATCTCTTTAGTGAAGCTTTTAAGTTATAATTTTACAGTTGTTGTTGCCATTGTTGTTATTGTGATTGTTATTATGGAGTAATGTTGTATCTTTTATTGTCGTTTTATACTGTTGTAGCGCCTTGAGTGTAAGAAAGGTGCATTACAAATAAAATGTATTATTATTATTATTATTTTATTCGACACGAAACTGATGTGTGCAGTTTACTATGCATGCTTTAAAAAAGTTATCCTCTTCAGTAACATTTTTTGTATGTTTGTTTTTTGATTGTAGTCTTTTTTCCACTGCTATTGTTTTCTTTGGATTTGCTTCTCAGTTCCATTCAATTTTAATCTTTTCTTTGTTTATTCCATGTTTTATAGGCAACCTCTGTCATGCTAATTCAGATTAGCACAGTTGGTTTTAGGACTCAATAGTACAGGAGTTAGTAATCTGTACTTAATCTGTGTTTCAGAAAGTCATTTTTAAAAGCTTGATTAACTATCCTAGATTAAGCCTACTTCTGGCTTAATTTAAACCCCGTCCGGGAAACTGCCCCAGAATTTACCTCAGAAGAATGCGATGAAGTCAGACCCCAGAGGGTTAAAACTTTGTAAGCCTAATGTGCCACAAACAGTCATTAAAGATGAATGAAGAATAAAGACCAACCTCCTGGTTCCTCGTGTTTTATTCTCCGGGTTTCTGGTTCCTCGTGGTTTATTCTCCAGATTTCTGGTTCCTCCTGTTTTATTCTCCGGGTTTCTGGTTCCTCGTGTTTTATTCTCCGGGTTTCTGG